CTGGATGGGGGGGGGGAGGCTGCGGGCAAGCTTTCAGGAGAGCGGGGGAGAGTTGGGGGAGAGAGGTAGACATACCACATGTTGATTTCTGCGCAAAAGAAGACCTAAAAAAAAAAAGACGTAAAGACCAATTCGCAGAGACCTAGGCGGGGATATAGGTCTTTAGAGGCGGCGGTGAGGGGTATCAAGAAGAGCGAGAGAGACGGATAGTTGGATCGAGAGGGAATGAGCAAGGCAAAGCCAGTGGTAAGGAGGCGGGAGCTGAGCAGCTTTATGTGTGTGCTGGACAACAACTGATGGAGGAGGGGAGGTGTGTATTGTGTACGTGGAGAGAGCACGCAGTAGCGCCCAGAGGTGTGCGAGGCGTGGAGGTGGGCGGTGGGCGGGGTGGTGGCAGGGGCGTGCTCGTATTGATGGATGACAGAAGGGGGGGGAGGGGAGAGGTATTCGTACAGAGGCACGGGTTGAGTTGAGAGACAGACGTCGTCGGCCTAGGTATTATTGCCTGCGCTAAGAAGGCAGGCCAAGTCAGGCATGGGTTGATGGATTGAGGCAAGAAGGAAACAAGACACTGGTTTGTGCTTGTTATTTTGCGACTCTGGCGATGACGGCCAAAGCTGGAGTTCCAGTGATGAGGTTGAAGTCGGGATTGGCACTGGCACTGGCACTCACCCGACGTCAGGCAAAAGTTTAGAGAGCTTGAGCAGAGCAGAGCAGAGCAAGCAATGTTTGGCCCGTGACAATGACGGGAGGCTTGAAGGTTCCCCTTTCCCCCAAGTTTGTCCTGATGGACTTTTGCAAGCGGGCGAAACAGATGTCTTCACGTTCCCGTTTGAACGTCTAGACCATGAATGTCTGGCTTGCCTTTGCTCGCTTGCGTTGCATGTTTGGGACGGCAGGCAGATGGCAACTGCGGTCGGTCAGTATTCGTACCTACCTTACCTCGCGGATACGATACGCGACAAGAATTGGGTGTCTGACATATCTCGACCGGGGTGGCATATGTCAGGACTCAGCAGGCGCTGGGGCAACGAATGGATCTGGGCTGGGTTCAATGGGCCAGCAGCAGCAGTGGCAGCAGCAAGAAGACCACGGACCTGGCCAGCCACACATGGAGCTGAGGACAGACTGGAAGCAGGAGGTGAGGGGCAGCTCTGGAGTGCCCCACCTCACCGGCAACCGCACACATTGCATCGCTCGTCACCAACACTAACACCTGGCAGAGCATCTCATTATGTGCATTATGCCAGGAGACCCCGTGTTGCTCTGGAAAGCCGGCCACGGTGCAAATTTTCTTCTCTGGCGTTGCTGTTACTCACATCTCTAGCATATCTGTCAGTGCCCGGAAAAGTTGCATTTCCAGATGGAAGCTGACGGCCATCATTTGGATACACAGTCGCACTTAGTTGCAGGCGCCATCATCAGGGTGCCGGCGCCTCTAACCTCCTTCAGACCTTCCATTCAGATGGTCCAGTGCGGCCCTCCTCCCCAGGCACCCAGGCTGGCACGGCTGGCTCTTCCTCTTCCTTGGACTGTGGCGCCATTCCCTTGCTCAGCCATTCAGCTGCTACACTAGCCCAGAAGATCGTCCTCGGTACGTACCGCCAAGTATGACGGACGCGGGACGCCCTTTGCTTTTCATCTAACGTATTGTTACGGATACAGTGATGCTGGTGGCCGTGGTCGATCTTCTCCTCCAAGTTCCTCCATCGCCTTGAGTTCATCTCAAAAAATATCATACTGGGGACTGACACCGTATATCGACGACAGTTCAACTTCTTCTAAGCGGCCGTCACCCGCACCCGTTCTTCACATTCCAGCGCAGCCGCTAGGAATTCTACACCATCTGCAAGCTGTCTGCATTTGCTACACTGCCCGCGCTGTCTTTCCCAAATCGGATGCGTACCTAGGTCCCCAGGCACCTGGCAGAATAAGCACCAAGTATCTAGGTGGGCACCAACTTGGACAAGCTCGGTCTAAGCATAGCATCGCATCAAATCAATCAGGGCAATCTTCACCAGCCCTGGCTGCATGCTCTCCAGATGCTTACCACCAGGTGCCTTACTGGGTGTTGAGTCCCATGCTTTCCATCTTGTGCCCTGTCTCCTTCACCTGCCCGAAGCAACGCCTCACCCGTGTGCCCTCCCACCTCCGGTTAACTCACCTCAACACCGGTAGGTAAGGTAAGGTAGTTAGTTAGGTAGGTACCTGACGACGAGACCGAGGAGCCCTCCCCAAGGCTACGGACGGCTGCCATTCCTTTGCCTTACCTCACTTTCCGAACACACCCCCCTTCATCCATCATCCCATGTGGCCCCCAACTCCCTCGTCCAATCCTTTCTCACCGCATCCCAAGACCCGAACCAAGAAACCACCTCATCCCAACCACCACTTGTCTTTCTCTGGACTTACAAGCCAAAACGGTGCAAAACTCGTTCAAATCGAAGCCGAGTGCAAAAAAGGGGCCAGTCCAAAAGAAACGACCAAGCAGCCGCCGGAAGTTGGAACCCAGATCTGCCGTTACCACGACCAACGTCCGCACTCCGTACTCGTCGTCATTGACCCCTCCTAATCCGGCACTCGACGCCCTTGCCGTGTCGCCTCAAAAGCATCCCCTTACTCTTGGGTGTGATGCAGACGGCTACTTGCCTTCGTCATTCCCGAGTCCCGACCCTACAACTTCTTGACCAGCTGCCCAACGCCTTTCTTCAGAGGGGTTCCATCGCCGGCATCATTCGTATTCCCTGGTCTCGGTCCCCAGTCCTCTGGGTGCAGGCACCTTGTTTGTTCAACGCTAGAAAAAAATCCAGTGGGGATCGTCGGCACTGCGACACCAGCCGACAGGACTTCCCACAGTTGGGTCCCCTGGTTTCTGGTTTCTGCTGCTTGCTTGGCTCGGTTGCTGGTTGCACCCACTGGATGGAGGGGGGCCCCGGGGTTGACGAAGCCAAGGAGGGGTGGTAAGGTGGGGGGCGTCCAGGTACGAAGCAAAAAGGAAGGGGACAGCGCACTAAAAAAGGTACAGCCTCAATGGCAATCGTGAGAACGGGCCAAAAAAGGGGCGACCTGTCGTCCACTCCGAGGCATCGTAAAGGAAAAATCACCAAAAATAACACGCCGCACCGATGAGAGAACCCCTGCTAGGCTGCAAATCACCATCTTGCATTTCTCAATGCCACCACCCATCGCCCCGAACCAGATGGGGGACATGGAGTTGGGACATGAACACTGCGCAACGCAACCGCCGCGGCAGACCATCAACACGGCCGAACTTCTGCCAGCCGCAGCCGCTTGTTGCGCGCTGCGCTGCGCTGCGCTGCCCAGGCCCCAAAACCGTTCTGATGTCAGATTCCAAGTGGGTGCCATGTTCCACGGTCCCTGGAAACGGTAAGAGGGACGACGTGGATAGGATGGTACGGGCCACCACATGGGGATTGATGGATGGGTGTAAGGGTGGACAACAACAGCTACTACTCGACTGCAGCGACCGACCAACACAAGACCAGAAGTCCGAGATGCTGTCATGATGGACGCCCGCGCCTCGAACAGCGAAGACTTGACACGCAAACCGCAATGGACTTCCCGCATGCAGCTACTCATCTTGAATCTCACCACAATCCTCCCAGCATCGAAAACATGTGGCGGGCCTTTGTCTCTATTCGTTGCCGTGCGAGATCACCCATGACATGATGCGGTCTCAGCTAGAGCCCTCTCGCCGTCGCCGTCCGCATGCAGCCAGCTTCAGCAGCCTCCTCCTCCTTTGCACAACAGGTCGAAATCGGCGAATGACAGTTGCAGAACCAAGGAGCTCTCGATCCTCTGGAGCTTCGAGGCTTACAGTGTGCGACCTCCCAGTCTCCACCCGTTGGCTGTTTCCTCCCCCGTCAGACAGGATCACAAGCATGTGGTCTTCTGTCAGAGAGAAAGAGATCATGTAAGACCCGACTCGAGGGGAGGCACCCGGAAGCTATAGTGCATCCAGCGAGACGGAGCTCGCTCACCTAAACTCACCCCCTAAGCTGTGGTAGGCAGACACAATAGATGCGGAGGCATCCGTCAGACAGCTGTGGCTTGCCCGAACCACCGACGCCCAGGACCCCTCTTCTCAACAGAATAGCTCTCCGTTCCGTACCATTCGGTCCCCTTTTTTTGCTCTCCCCCCAGCCCTACACTTACTTGGGTTCTACACTATTGGGTTTGTTTCTGGCACCGGGAGCCGACATCCCCTCCACTACGGTTCGCATGCCGCCCGGCGCGGTGGGTTTACAGGAGGAGCAAGAAAGCTTTTTGCTGTTGGTGAAGCTCTGCACGTGGCACCGGGTGAGCTTCGCCTTCTTCCGGGCCATACGTAAAGCATGCCGCGCATACCAGGACCCTAGCCTAGCCGAGGCTGTGCACTATCAATAGCTTCAAAAACGGAGCTGAAGCTCGCGCCCGGCCGCATTCCCTACCCCAGCCTCGCCGGGGAGGAAGAGGGAGCCTCCGTCCAGAGGGAAGGGAAAGGGAAGGGAAAGGGAAGGGAAAGGGAAGGGAAAATGACATGCCATAGCATCCGTACAGGGGAACATACAAAGGGCGCAGAGATAAGAGAAAACGCCCCAGTCTAAAACCTGCCTCTGCAACGATACGAGAGCCAATGCGTCTCGTGATGCACCAGGTCCATGCCGACGATCACCGCAAGGGCGCACACTCCTGAGGAGAAACCTCGTCAAAACACCACGAAGCTCGTTCACGATTCGAATTGGCGAGGCCGCATGATGCGCTTTGGGACTCGTTTGTTGCTGCCTCTATTGCACGCCCGCCATCTCTAAGTTTCCCGCCGCCAACAACCCCAAACCTGGACTCGGGTATTGTACACTGTTTAACACATTAAAGACGCCCGGAGCAGCCAAGGACCCGATGATGCCTGTCCCAGCCGCCCTCTTTTGGCGTCTTTTGTTTCTCCTTTGCATCTTCACCCCCGTATTCGTCTTCACGATGGCGACGCCGTTATCGCCGCTTTACAGCTTCTGGTATTCCAGCTTGCCCTCCAGCTTCTTGGACTCGGCAACCTTGCGCACCGCCTTGTTGAAGTCGTCCTGGTTGATTGCGTCCCTGTAATCCTTGATGGCAAAGAGACCGCTGTAGGAGTGAAAGATTAGTAAATGCCACCTCATTTTGGGGTGGAAAGGGGTAGACCTACGCCTCGGTGACCACGTTTCTCAAATCCGCACCGTTGAGACCGTCGCTCATCTTCACCACGCTCTCAAAGTCGATCTCGCCCTCCGTCACGACGCCAGAGGCGTGGATCTTGAGAATCTCCAAACGGCCCACCTCATTGGGCAGGGCGATCTCGATCTTGCGGTCTAGACGTCCGGCACGGAGAAGGGCGGGATCGAGGGTATCGGGTCTGTTTGTCGCCATAATGATCTTGGTCTTGCCGAGGTAGTCGAAACCGTCAAGCTGGTTGAGCAGCTCCATGAGCGTTCTTTGGATCTCACGATCGGCACTGGTCCCCTCGGAGAATCTGCGTCCACCGATGGCGTCGATTTCGTCCATGAAGATGATGCAGGGCTCGTGCTCCTTGGCATATCCGAACATCTCACGGATCAGACGGGCCGACTCTCCGATGTACTTGTCGACAATAGCTGACGAGACGACTATGGAACCAGTAGTTAGCATGCCTCGTCCACCGCACCTTATACCCTGAATGTAGGATTGGTCTTCACATACCCTTCAAAAAGTTGGTCTCCAAACTGCTGGCCACAGCACGAGCCAGCAACGTCTTTCCTGTACCAGGAGGTCCGTAGAGCAGGACACCCTTGGGCGGCTTGATGCCCACGCGCAGGAACAGCTCGGGGTTCTTGAGCGGGAGCTCAATGACCTCTCGCAGCTCGCGAATCTGGTCGTTGAGTCCTCCAATACCAGCAAAGCTGACCTGACCGGGGTCCTCCAGCGACATGTTGTAGACGAGGGGATCGACTTCGCGGGGAAGCATTCGCATGATGGTGAGTGTCGTCATATCGAGGGCAACGCGAGTTCCCTGCTTGAGCCTGGCCTTGTCGACCTTTGACCTGCATCCGACGACATATCTGGGACCTGAGGATGCCTTTACGATAACTGTTTGCGAGCGACACGGTCAGCGTTCAGTGTTTGACGATCCCGCAAGGTGCGTATGCGGTGATGGTGGCGGCGGTGGGGAGGGAAGGAAGCGGAGGCGGGATGCTCTCAACTCACATCTTTCGTCATCGAGCTGCTTCAGAACCTCGCCGATAATCTGACCCACGCTCTGCAGCGCCTTGATGTTATCCTCGGTGCGGTCGTACTCCCTCTGCAAGTCCTTGATCTCGAGGCGGAGAGCCTTGAGCTTAGCCTCCCACTCCCGCGATTCGAGCAGCTTGCCCCGGTAAGAGTCGAGAGCCTTCTGGCGTTCTTCGTCGGAAGACATCTCTGGGTTATGTGTGTGGTCGAGAGGAAGGAAGGGCCGAAATTTCGAATTCTCGTGGTGGGACGAAGGAGGCGGTCTCGTGTCAATGTCGCTTCGGGCAAGGTGATGTGGATGGAGGATGGTGGATAGCTCTGGCGTATGTAATCGTTGTTTTCGGAGGTTTGATGTGCAGACGTACCTTCCGCTGTAGCCTTCTGCCTCACAAAGCACGGCTCAGCTGCTAGCGCCTCATCCCTGCTTCTACTGTAGCTCTCCCGCGTGCGATGTGATTGGCTGAGAGCTATCGGGGCGGATCAAGCGCAAATCCGACGCAGGATCTCAAATGTCCTAGAATTGATGTTCACCGGACTACCTGCTGGTTATCATGGAGAAGGCGTCTACTCGTGATGAAGATATTGGGCAGGAGGCTTTCCTCCCAGCTGTACTGGGACGATTTACGACGTTTTTCGGATCTCACATTGTCCTTGGCGTCTGAAGGAATGTGAGGCGTCACGAGGACCAAGGTAGGCAAATGATGATCAAAATGTTGGGGTCAATTAGGGGAATTTACTTCCAAGTATGTACGTAGAATGATAAGAAAGACAGTCCCAACGCCTATTTCTACTTTATCGCGTTGTGCGATGATAGATTGACGTCTCATGCTTCAGTCTTCCTCCTCCCGGGGGTAATAGCTATTGATACGAATAAATTGCGCGAAGCTGTAGATGCAAATATGTGATGCAGGTAGTGGATAATCCTCCCCAGGGTAAATGTGTAACAAATGAGAGCCAGTTCAACCAGAAACTCCATAAAAGACGGGTATTTGGGGGGCATCAATCGTAAAGACGGTATCCTGAGATGCTTCATGTCTTTAGCCCTCCAGCTCGGACGTGATCTCTTCACGCACATTGCGGCTCCACTCCATGACGGCAGCCTCGAAGTTGATCCAGACTTCAGGGCTGCTGTTGTAGACAACACCAAGTGCATCCACTTTCAGAAGGATTTCCCATCGCAGCTCTGCTGCTTTCGCCCAGTAGCGGATGTTGTCAGCACAGCGGTAAGGCTTCTCTGTATCGGTGTGAAAGGTGGTGATAAGACCGAAGCGTCGCTTCGACAGCTTTACTGCCGCGTTGTGCAGCTCGACAAGTCGGATGCCGTTCTGCAAAGCTTGCAAGAAAGGTGTGGGGAACTCGGTTGCTGAAGCTGCAGGCGTATACTCCGGCATGGGCTCAGCTTGAGGTGCAAGAGACGCCATGAACGCCAACTCTCTCTCGACTTCCTGGCCAGTCCAGTCGCCCTTCATCCAGGTCCAGCGCTTGCGCTCGGCCTTCTCTGCCTCGACCATCTTCTCTTCGGTCTTGAGCATGCTGAAGAGTCCCTGGATCCAGGAGTTGAGAGTGTTGTACTCGTCCTCCTTCATTCCGCCGGCCCACTTTCGCGTGGCCATCTGCTTCAGCGTCTCCATGACGTTGAAAAGCTCGGTGCGGATCTCCTTCTCAGACTTGATCACGTCCAGTCTTTCCGGGACTTCGTGGGCGGTGTAGTAGTTCTTGGCTGCACGAATGGCTAGCGTCATGACATCGAGAATGTGCATTCCCTGTACTTCAAACCAGCCCATGCCTTTCTTTGGCGTGTTCTGAGCTGACGTAGCTTCCGCCGCCGCTCTGGCATTCTCCGCCTTGCTCTCCCACGCTTTCTTCAGCGAGGCACCCGCTTTGTCGAGAGATTCAGTCAAGTCACTCTTGAGCTCCTCGATCGTCGGCGGCTTTGGCACTGGCTTATTCCTATGAATGTAAGTGCTGGTCGTCGGCGGCAGGACGTCCGCATCGTCCTCAAAGTCGGAGTAATAGTCGTCGTCCTCGGTGGGAGACTCCACCATTGCTCCGGCAAACTGGTCCCCAGAGAGGAGTGGACTGAGCGAAGGGAAGGAAGCCTCCCCATCAGAGCCAATCTTTGGCGAAGACATCCCCGAGCTGCTCACAGACGAGAGATCCAGACCTCCCTTCGCCTTGTTCTTTCTCGCCAGCTGGCCACCCTTGCCATCGAGGAGGCCGGTTCGTGAGAAGTAGTACTGCAAATGGGCGATGCTTCCCAAGCTCAAAACACTCTCCCTATGCCGCGCACTCGCAGCAAAATCGGTACCTTGGGGTCGCACGAACCCCCGGCGACGGCTGTTGGACCGGCCGGCCATGCTGCAAGTCGACTGGCGATTTGAAGACGTAAAGCTCATGTCTGAGCGACGGCTGTAGTTATCGGAGGATTGTCTGGAGTATGTGCTGCTGCCCAGGGAGTCACGGGAGTGGCCATCGGTGGCGGACCCGTGGGAAACAGACGACGCCGTTGACACACATCGTGTAAGTCCAGGACAGGCGCCGATGGCCGGAGTCGGGGAGATCTCGGGCGAGGGGGAATCGCATCGAAGAGCTGGAGGCTGCTCGTTTGCTGTAGCCATGGCTTCGATTGGAACACGAAACGAGAAAATTCGAAGATTCGGCTAATCCTGAAGAGGCGGGGGGCAAATACTGGCAGTGCTCTTGGTGGTGTTAAATAGGTCAAAGGTATTGCGGCGATCGTCCGAAGGGTATGTTGGTGTCTCGTCTCAGCTTGGTGTCGATGGCGTACTCAAGCCATGCGCGGGATAACGTGAGGGGGAGCCAAACAATGTCGCAGCTGGGTATGTAGGAAGCAATGCGGACAGGATATGAGCTATAGCCGTCGAGACAACTGGGTGCACAGCAGCGTCCAGAAGGCGACGAGAGGAGATTCCAAAGGAAGAACGTATGCTGGTGGTTCGACAGACGTAGGGCGTATTATTGATTCAGGTGAGGCGAGGTAAAACCAAGGTATGATGCGTCAGAGAGGGAGCGAAGTGAGTTGGTCAACGGATAGTTTTCCAGCTGGACTCAGGGCCCAGAAAGTTTACTGCTGGACTTTCTTCAATACCCCGGCCGGTAAATAGACAGGCCAGCAGATGGTGTTAACGGTAGGGCGAAGACGAAGGCGGAGGGCAAGGTAAGGCAAGACAAGGCCTAGGAACCAACGGTAAGGTAAACCAGACAAGGGAAAGGCAGGGTAAGGTTGTGCTGCGAGCTGTGACACGACGCGACCTTCCGGCGTCAGGGGTTTGTGTTGGGCTCGGCCACAGCGTAAGGGCGGGTACGGTGAGTCGTTTTGGTCCGCTGCCTGGCTTCTTTTTGCCTGGATCCTTCCCGTAGCCAGCTGCGTCAGTGGAGACTGATGGGCTTTCTGGAGGTCTTGGGAACTCTGGACTTTGCAATCTGGGAGGGGGAAAGGGGGGCCGAAGGCGAAATGGAATTGATCTCTTGTGATCAGTCTCCAGCAGGCAAATTGGGGGTCCAATGGAGTGGCGCGCGAGGTACCAGGGAGGGATGGTTTAAATTGAACGTCGCGTCGTCTCCGAAAGTGGGGGAGCAAAGGACGAACAACCTAGGCAAGGCAGGGAAGGGGACGGAGGGATATGCACTGCGTTATGGAACGCGTGAAACGGCAGGCGTTGTGCTCGCTTGGTTTTGCACGCAGCGCAGCTTGAGAAATACGTTTGGTTTGCTGAAGATGATGTTCCAACAAGAGATGGCCAAGGACTCTGCGTACTGCAATTACCGTCCTCTCCAATGGCCTGCATGCCTGGTTAGCGGTGTTTTAATATCGACCAGACAATGCGGCGTTTCTTACTGGCTGAGGATCGCGGAGTAGCTAATGGTGCAAAGTAGCTTCTGCGCTGTCGATGGGGTAATGTAAAAATAACGGAACTTTGATCCCGCACTTGGCCGTGACGTGTAATAGTGAGCTGCTAGCGTCAAAGGCAAGATCCTCTTGTAAGTCGCAGCTAATATGAGACTATTTCGATGAACCTCAGATTTCCTTTCTGTCACAAGCCACACGAAAGGGGATGGCCCTGTTCTTAAGGTACCTCATCCAGCCTCGAGTCGGGAGCATGCCTATGTCCAGGCCAATAGCATCGAGCTTCTCCAGACAGACAAGCATGTAGAGAACTCTGTTGGCGCGCCACAGCAACGATATGCAGCCAAGCATTAGGACGTCCATTGTGAATGAAAGTCAAGCTCAAGCGGCTGTTTGCTGTGAGCCTGATAGCTGTGCCACCTTATCAGAGTCCGAACCCCATGCAGAGTCATTTTCCTTCGCATGCCCGCCGTTGTTATGACAGATTCCCATGGCGATGACATATTCAGGGGCGTCAGATTGATCGAAATCTCCAGCACCTCAACCGGGCAACAAAGCACATGTGGATAGTGCTCATTCCGCGAGGCGCCTCTGCTCCGCGTTTCCCGACATCGAGATTGGGAGATTGGCTCCTCTTGTCAATCCCAAACATGGCTTCACGGGTTGCCTCTTTAAGGCCCCAGTGGGTTGGTTGGTCGGCTACGACGAGGACTTTGACTGACTGCTATTTCGCGATGCGCAAATCACGGACAGGAAGCGATAGCCGGGAATAGGCCAAGGAAGCAAATCGGATTGGAACGCTGGTGTTGACTGCAGGCTTTTTGGCCACATGGCACCAAGGGGTTCGAAATGCCTCGTTACCTTTCCTTTCCTTGCCTTACCCGCGGCTTTTCCCGTTGTCTCTCCAGATCGCGGTTCCGTGCCTGACCTTGTCGGGAAGAGATTGGGGGTGCTCCATATTGGTGGTCGATAAGTGACCAATGACAGCGATCTGGTGGCACTCGCAGCTGACACATCGAAGCCGACACGCTCTTACTGATTTACTCTACCAGAGTTCGGGCATCTAATCTCGATGTTACGGGTACCTGTCTCTGTATTCAAGATGTCTCGTTTAGCAATGAAAGTGAACCAGGCTGGCAAGCTGGATTGAGGACGACTTCCAAAAGAGTTTGGCAGGTGTAAAAGGGGCATGAGACAGGTTCTGAATTGAGCACGATCAGCAAGGCTTTACGTAGCGGAGAGATGTCTCTGCCAGCCTAGGCCGTCTTTCTTCAGAAAATGAAAGAAACATATAACCCCAATAGCTCGTCGCCTGATCTATCTCTTTTCTTTGTAAAAACATGCACACCGATATCATCTGACTCTGTTTTCCACACAACATGCGTCTTCTCCAGTGTGTCATCGATTTCCAGCTTTCTAGCTGCTCCGACCCTCACTTTTACATATGCAGGTGATATGCAAGCCTTCATACCAGCCCGGTATTTTGCGATAACTCAAAACCCATTTGTACCTTTATCCACCTTTTAGTGCCGCCGTCCGACAGTAACAACCAGCTGGTTGTGCAGCAGCTATCAGTCTTTTGGTCAACATAAGCCGTTCCAGGTCAGTATCTGTCTCCTCTTCAAGCTTACTCGCTCTTGCGCCAGTAATTACAAATATCCTCTGGCGAGGTTAACGAGAATCGAATATGATTTTCTGATAGGTAAGTGTAGGGCGACATCAAGAGACTTGCACTATTCCAAAGACGTCACTCGTCGTCGGGAACGTGCTTATCCCCTGCATGCACCGGGCGGCTTAACATGCAGAGTAATATGCATTATTAGCGTGCCACGGCTTCATCCGACACTATCAGCAGCCCGCATATTTCTACTTCACTTCATCGCTACGTTGCGTCACAACCAACCAGCCTGAGCAATGTTGGTTGAATTGGAAGATGGTATGATGTGCACGAGAAACATCGGGCATGAAAGGCTTGTGCGGTGCTTCTTTGAGACGGAGAGGAGACATTGGACCAATTGACCTGACAACCCGCTTCCAATGCTACGGCGGCCACCGTGTGTCTGTCCGAAGAACACATGTCCAATTGTCTGGAGACTGGGAGCTGCGAGTGAGCGCGAGGCATGCAGGGAGGGGAACGGGGCCTGCAGCCCCGGGCCCCGATCCGCCGGCCCAGAAAGCAGGGTCATCCCGGCTCGTCTAATCTTCCACGAGCCTCCCAAGTTCGAATTGCCAGGGCTCCCGGGCTGGTCGCGGGTGACCAGTCCAGAACTGGGAACAGCTTCTGCCGTTGAAGGCTTGAAGCCCCAGGGTCCGGACGAGAGAGGACACAGCAGAGGGCTTCAACTGCCGCAACTGGTGACACTTGATTGCGACGCTGTAACTTGCGGGAAATATGGTCATGGCTCGGAAGGGCTGTCGCTGGAAACGTGGTGATCCACCGGCGAGCTCTCGGGGGTGGTGCTCCATTGTTCCAGGGTGATGAACCCATGGTTCGTGAGCAGCAACTAGCGACGGGAGAGCTCGCTAGCTCATTGCTCTGCCGGCCACTGCTTAATTGGCACTGTTCCTCTCGAGCGCGAACGGACGGGGCAGAGAAAGACTAGTGTCTGTAACCGTGGGATCACAGACTATTGGCTCCTGGCGGGCTTCTAGAGTCGAGTCAAAATCCGCGTGTCGACGCAGGGTGGTGATGAGAAACGGGTTGAAGCGCCCGAGTGGCTCAAATGGAAGGTGATTGATAGACACGGCCAATAACATCTGCCCGTAAATGACCGGACAAATTGGGCAAGAGCCGAGGAAGAACCACAAACCAGTCAGATGGGGAAACATGGGTTGTATATCAGAATGTTTTCCCATGACAGGTCCGCAGCCCTTACAAGTTTTATGTAAGGGCCAGCAAATTGTCAACGTTGCAGAAGCCCATTCTTTCGTCGTGGATTTCGGAGACGGAGATAATTACTGTGGTACACGTAAGGGCGGCGCGCACGACGGGTGGATGGTTCAGTGGGCGTTTCATCGGTCGTCGTAAGGGACGGAGCTCTAACAGCGACTGGGCAGGGAAGCTTTGCCCTGTTCCCTTAAGGTTGACAGCCGGGCTTCCTGAGCTCCCCGCGATAATCCAGAAATGTGCAGACTGGATGAAGACCCTCGGGTGTGCTCTCTGTGACTTGGCTGGAAGTACGTATGGATATTTTGACTCGGCGCTACCACTTGTTTGTGAGAAAGGGAAAGGCAGATGGAGGAGGCCAAACCGGATGGAGCGCGTGCTTGACTCGGACTCGTTCAAAGAGTTGGAGTCTATCTGTATATTGGCCCGGGCCATACTGAGTTGAGAGCTCCGTGTAACATTGACTATGGAGATGGAGACGGGCGGAGGGTGAGGTAAGGTAGCCTCGCATGCGCCGTCGTAGCATTTGCGGTTTCGTGCAAAATCAATAAAGCGCTGCGGAATGCCCTGCCCAGGACGCAAAAGAAGGCTTTTCTGGATTTTTTTATGCCTTGTGCATGTCGCGTCGGTCGGTCCTTGGTTCCTATTTCTGGTGCTTGTCGCAGCTTGTTCCGACCCAACACGAAGTCCCATACAGACTCAATTCCAGACCATGCCATACTAGACCATTTCGATTCGATTCGGAAGACGCACATTTCCTTTCCATCTTCCTCTTTCCTTCTTCCAACCGCGGATCGGCGCGTTCTTTGCTTCTCTTTGCGTCTCCGTCTGACCATTGCCGCTCGTCAAGTAGTCACAGCTTGGGCGCTTGCTTTGGCTTTGCTTTGGTGGTTTTGGCTCTTGCCCTTCTTCGTCGCCCCCTCACATACCGTTACAGCCTCCTGCTGCTCATCCTTCATCTTCTTATTCTTCCTCGGCTTATACTTGTTTGATCTTTTTTTTCCGTCTCAACTTACTTAGATATTCACTACATCCAGACACTTTGGGAAGCCCTTCCCAGTCGAACGCTCTCTACCTTTTTTCCCTTCTCTTCTCTCCTTCTTTCTTCCGCTTTCCCCTCTCGTACGTCTTCTTTCCCTGACTTATGTTTGCGCCCGAACAAGGTCCAACCCAGCATATTTGGACACGCAGCCGGATCCAAGCAATGGTCGCCTCGTAAAAGGCACGTTGGAGCAACCGACTGACATTCCGCCGGCTGCGAATCGATCCGCCGCCACGTTCTTCCTTACCTGCTTCGTTTCCGACTTCCAACGCTTTGTGAAGGCACCATCCCTCACTTCATACCGAACGAACCGAATCGTCTATACCATACCTGACGCAGTCCAACCAAATCTACCGACCCTTTCCCATCCTAGACAAGGCGAGGCCGCCAGATCTGCACCTGCTCTGCTGCTGCTGCTGCTGCTGCTCTCCCCGTGCCTTACCCTAGGTATCCTGCTCACCAACCAACTCGGTGCTAAGACGTTGCGCCGCTGCATCCCAGCCTAATCGCGTGGTCGCCCAAAAAGATTGCGCGCCAAACGACTGGCGTTGCCCAGTCCCGGTCATCGTTCTTGCAGCTCTTGCAGCCGACGCAGCGCACACGCTCCTGCGCCGCCAATAACGACTGCATTCCCGTCCTTCGGCTCCTCTAGATCCCCTGTTGCCGGACGCCTTTGCTCGTTTCTGTCGTACATCTACCCTGTAACTGAAATCGCCGGGACCCCACCGACTAAGGCATTGACAACAGTGCGCTCGACGAGCTTGCCCAGGCATCCAGCATTCCCAGCATTCCAGCGCCGCTCTTCGATCCCTCTCATTCGGCGGCCTGCAGCTCAAGCGACCGAACCCAGCGAGGATCGGTCTCCTCGACCCAGTTATCACTCAAGCTCAGGACCGCCGGACCCAGCCAACCCACGAACCGGCTCAATCGTTGTCGGCCGTCCTGGCTGGACACGTACAGCATTGCGCCGTACCTAGAGACGTCTGTCTCTGCGGAGGCACGCGGAGGGCCGGCCGCCTTGGGTTCAGCACCGAAGGAGAGGGTGCTCGGCGTCTTGAAGGACGATTCGGGACTCAACCAACACACAGGCATAAGCACGAATAAAATGTCGGCCGAGGCAGCTTCCGCGCCAGAGGAGGCAGATGCAGCCCACGCCAACACCACTGCAACCGCAACCGCTGACGCCGCCAGTGCCGACGCCAAAAACTCCGTCTCCAGCCACCAACTGCAGCACCCACAGCACCCACAGCACCCACAAGACCAGGCACAGGCCCCTCCAACAGCGGACCTTGACCTGGGCTTCTCTGACGTCTCTAGCCCCGAACTTTTCCAACTACAGGCCCCATTCGATGTCGTAAACAACAACAACAATACCATCGCCGACACCGAAAACAATCACACAAAGTCGCCCGCAAGCTCGACCCGCAGCAAATCCGCATCCTCGCATCTTGCTACATCATCACCATCCGGCTCACCCAACGCGAACAAAGCAATCCAACCGCGCAAGCCGTCGCCAGGACTCGCTGCACGCCTCAAAGCACTTGGCTTGGCCTCTTACAAGAAATCAGCAGACTCGTCTCCTAACCAACCAGACATTGTCGGTCGCCTTCCCGAAGATCAACTCCGCCAACTCGACGAGAACCACAAGTCGAATTCACTCGACTCCATTATCCATCGCCGCGGCCGCCCTTGGAAGGGTCTCGTACATCACAAGGCCTCGGAGACGCAAAAGACACAATCCGTAACCTCAACCGAAGAGCCCGATACTGAGCCATCGCCGTCCATCGCAGACGTTGCCCCGGGCGCGTCTCTCGTCCTACCCGAGATCACAACAACAGAACCGCTGGACATGGAGACACACAAGTACCGCCTGCCCGACCACACCAATGGAAATGGCACCAAGGTCCAGCTCGAGACACGACGAGAACATCTCGAACGTCAAAACTCCTCGGATGTCCCTCCTCCTCCACCCCCGAAGGACACGCCGCCTATCCCCCAAGCCGAGTTCACGCCCGATCTCTCCTCGTATTTCAACCCTAGCCACCAGCGCCCCGGCTCAATCTACACACTTTCCCGCGCCTCCTTTGCCAATCAGCTAGCACAGCTCACTTCCCTCCAACTGCCCGACGCCGAGTCATTGTCTAGTAAAGTTTCCGCGATTCCAACCGCGCAGGTCGCCTCCAAGGCCCTCATCAATGCAGCTGAACAGATTAGGAGTTGGATTTACAAGGCGTCCGAGGTCATTGGTGGCTTGGATAGTGACGATGACGTCGAGTGGGCCTCCGCGGGCGGGCGTGAAGGCCTGGAGGAAGTCGAGAACGCTATCCATCGCTTTGAAGATTTGATCAAAGTCTACGTAAGCGCCATCGAGGAGCTGCAGTGTCGTCAGGATATTGCCAATGTTCCGCCAGCAGACCTCCACCGGGCAGTCTCTCAAATGGAGGCTATCATTGAAGAATGGGCCAACATTAAAGCGACGCTGAACACCGTCAAGGGTCAAGTTGAAATCGCCATGGAATGGGAAGAACTCTGGAACTCAGTTTTGGGGGATATCCAGACCGAAATGGACGAATTGAGTCGCTTGGTCTTCGAGATGGAGGAACGCCGGCACAAATCGCTCATCGCGGCTACCTCTGGCGACGGCGTTGACATAGGGGATCTTGAAAATATCGTTGACGACACGCCGGCGCCGGCACCGCCACCCAAGGTGCAAGCCCAGAACCGATTCTCCCTACCAGGCCTGGCTCTCAGCCCTGGGTCGACGTCGCCAGGGACACCTACGCTGTCGCAGGATGATTCAAGCCTGTTGGCTCTGTTCGCCCGGATGCAACCCTTGCGCGCATCACTCGATTTCCTCCCCATGAGACTCGCGGTCTTCGCTGCAAGAGCTGAAAAGTCGTTTCCTACAGCCTGTGAGGAGCTAGAGATGCGACGTGAAGGTCTCGACGGCAGCTACAAGAAGTTGGAGAAGGATGCCGAGTCTTTACGCAAGGAGCTGGGAGAAGATCGCTGGGTACTCGTTTTCCGTGGCGCCGGACGGCAGGCGCAGAAGATGATTGAGTCCGTCGAAAGATCGATGATCAAGTTGAGAGAGGCCATTGACACTGGCATGCATTTGAGCAACCCCCCTGCGATGAGCAAGAAGATTGAGGGTTACGACGCCAAGAAGACGCATTATGGTCCTGCTATTGAGCGTGTCTTGGCCATCATTGACAAGGGTGTTAAGGATCGACTGACGGTGAACGGCGAGATTCTCAGACTGCACGCGGAAATGCAATCCAAGTGGGAGTCAATCAAGGACGAGATGAGAGAGATGGATGTGGTGGTTGATGAGGTGCAAGCGGACAACCGCGGCCAGCAGTTGAGAGACTCCATCTCGAGCATGTTGTCGAATGATCGCTCAACTATAGGCAGTGGACGCGAGACTCCGGGCAGTTCGCCCCCTTCATCAGTCATCATGTCTAGCCTTGGCTTCGAGCCAATGACACCCACACCCAAGATCAGGAACCGTTCGGCGAGCAGCAGCAACCTGCCGCAGCCTTCGGGGCGAAGACAATCCTCGTTGCCGACCCCATCTTCTCGGAAGACTCTGACCTCTCGTCTGTCCAACATGACTTCACGACTGGGTACGCCATCGACCAGCAATGCTGGCAGTATTCCCCGCGCTCAGTCGACTTTGCCAAATCGCCCTCGGTGGAATGGGTCCACGAACACAGCAGATGTCGGCATTGGCCACAACTTCAAACCCCTTAGTCTCACGTCACCCAGCCCCTACGCTAAGAAGACATCACCTGTCCCTCGCCCGCCCTCGTCCCTGACCCCACGGTCTTCGTCACCCGGTGGTAGTAGGTTGCCATCTATTCGTGGTCCGCTCGGGCGAGAATCATCAGCTTCGCCCATGCCCGAAGACACGCCGACGAAGAGGGCCACTTCCAAGCTCTCGTTCCGCGAACGTCTTGCCTCTCCTGGCCCTTACTCACAGCGCACGCTGTCGAAACCGCGCTTGTCCTCGTCTTTGTCTACCTCTGGCCTGGAATCTCAATCTACTCGACGTGCATCTTTGCAGCCTCCCAGGACGTATTTGACCGCTGACGATAGGACACCAAGTCGTCCAGCCAGCTCTCTAGCTACCACTCGGCGAACCAGCTTGCTGCCACAGCCTAGAGGGCCAAGCTCAAATGGCAGAGAAACCTCGTTGGGCATCACGCCTCGTGGGGCTACCCGCAAGACTCTACCCGAGCTGTCCGGCAGCACTTCCGCTGCGAGCAGCAAACCCAGATGGAGGGGCTAGGAGTCTTTCGTTGGGCACAAGAGGAGGGCTGTCAGCTCGCCAGCAGTTCCCAGTGGTGCGGGTGCCAACGTGATGAGCAAGCCCCGCTGGCGGACTTGATACTTGATCATTCACAACGGAAATGCACGAGGCCTCCAAGTAATTTGATGAGGAGGCCTCGACAGACATCGCCTGGACACATCCTTACGACTACGACTCGATACCAACTTTGTACATATTCGACTACGCTCCTTAATGGCCCACGGCAGGGCCATTTGGACGACTTTCACTTCTATTGCTTTGCGGCATGGCGTCGGGTTAGGAACCGTCGGATGGCGTATTTTCAGGAGCGGGAAAAAGCCTCTCCGGCGGTCTTGATTTATTTATCTTTTTTTTTTTTTTGGAATGTTGGCATTATACCCGGAAGGTGGGCTGGAGTCTGGTCAATGGTGTATTTTGAGGGCACAAATGGCCTCCAGACCGGGCCATCCGTGGATGGATGGGAAGAAGCAAGCCCCGTTGCCGGTCAAGACGCGCATCGTCATGTCCGGTCAACGAGGCGTACGAAATCGCTCAACCATACGCTACTACAAACCGCCATTGGGGTTAAGAAAAAAGAAAAAGAGATTCGATTATTTCCGTTTGCTGCGATCCATGTGTTGGAACCCCCGACGAGACTTGTGGCAACCAAAGTGAACTTGGCTGGAGTATGTCTGGCAGTCGCAGGGGGAGAGGGAATCACAGCGGGGGGAGGACGTGGCTAGATTGGGAGGCCGAAGACGTAAATTGATCATTCGCATACCCTAAAATGAAGATGACAGGCCGAATGAATCGCAACATAGGGCCACATTCTCCCCGGTGATGGCTTACTACTCGCGTCATTTTGGGGGTGAACTTCTTAGACACTTTAGACGAGACGAGGGCTCAAGTATAGAAATAACATCATCCCAAGGAGGGAGGAAATGGTTGGTCATTGTCAACATGTAAATGCCAGATGTGCTTACGCTGCGCCGGAAGAAGATGCCCTGCCAAAACCGGTCCGACGCCTGACCCGCGCGAACCGATATCATGCTTGATAATCGCCCACTCCGCCGCCATGAATATAAAATATGCAGACCGATCAAGTTGCTTCCCTTGTTCACTCCTCCTTCTGCCGCTTCGTGACCATGCCATGTAATGCAGTGTAATAGTTTTCCGTCGTCGCCAGTTCTGTTCGTATCAGACGTGTGCACATCATCTACCCCTTTTCCTGTCTCTCTCTCGACTTAATGCGGCATGAGTCCGATGCTGCCGCCACCACCGCTCCTTCCACCGCTGCCGCCACCTCTCTTGCCGCCTCTTGGGAAGAAGTGCGTGACGGTCGAATTCCTGGAGCTGGAAGCCGTCGTCCCGCCGCTACTCCTTCTGCTGGCCCCGCCTGAGGCCTTCCGTTTGGTCACCCCTCCCTTCTTGTACCCTCCGCCAGAAGCTCTGCGGTATGGCTTCTTCCCACCGCGCGCGCCACCACGGCCTCGTGTGCCTGATGATCCTCGTGTCGGCGGCGCCGTCTCGAGCTCGTTCACTCTCATTTGTTCATTCCATGCTTCCACCTCTGGTCTCAGCGGTGGTGGCGGGCCATTGAAATACTTAGAAGCCTCCTCTTCTTCCTCATCGTCGTCATCTTCCATGTCCTCGTCCATGTCTTCATCAGAGCTGATCAAGTCAACAATGTGCTGATCACCGGCGTCCATCTGATCAGCTGCGTCCATCGCCCCTATCATGGAATTGTAGTTGTCTCGGCAACGCTTGACCATAGGAATAAACTTAGTCCCGAACTTGTCAACTTTCTCGATCTCGATGCCTGGTATTTTGCGCATTTGCGGCAGTGTTGTTGTCCAGCGAATAGCCATTTCTTGGAAGCTTCGCTCAGAGAACAGCGGCTTTCGGAGATTTTGCGCGTTGCGCAGCTGCTCTTCGAGCTTCTTCGCCTCCTGCACAAAGTTGTGGACCACGTCTTGATGCAGTTCATCAAGATCTCCCAACCGACCGTCTGCCTCTATGCGAGGACCAACTTCGCGAGAAGCGTGACTTCTGTTGCGAGACTTTGGCAGGGGCTCGAACGCGTCATCTTCATCATCCGACATGACAAAGCCATCCTTTGCGTAGCCGTTTGAGTGCAAAGACAAGTCCTGCTCCTCCATTTGTTGCAGTAGCATCTCTTCCTCTTCGTCCGTATCGAAGATGGTTGCCATGGACTTGCCCTTCTTCTTATTCTGAATTCTTGCCTGAGCAGGTGAAGACACATTAGTCGAGGGCGGGACATGTCTAGAAGGCCCTGCGCCTGTGTCTACATCATCGGCCTCTTTGCTCTTCTTTGTTCGCTTTTTCGGCTTTGGAGCCGAGGATTCCCTACCCCTATCGGAAACCTGAACCGACAGCAACAGCTTGCGGCGCCCAGACAGAAACATATGCGCATTGCGACCAACCTAGCACCATGTTAGTCACGATTGTAGTGAGTGAATTAGATAAAGTAACATACGATGAGGTACGGGATGGCAATACCAGCCCGCTTGTTCACCACGTTCGTCTCCTCGAGTGCTTCCTCAGCAGTAAGTCTGTCGAGAATGCGCTCGACTTCATGCTGTTTCATCCCCCGAGCTATGCCGTGAGCGTCGTCTGGGTCCTCGTCTATGTTCGGGGGGTATTTCTTCCCCAAGAGAATCTCACGGCACTGATTGACCGTTAATTTTTCGTGGTTTCTGATGGTCTGAATAGCGCCAACAGCCTTGTCGGAGAAGTCCTGCTGCTCAAAAACAGCCCCCGCTCGACAGTTGTCGCACGTCTTGTTACACTCGTCTCCGTTGAATACCTCGCCAAAGTATCGAAGGATTTCGACACGGCGGCAGTTCTCCCGATTGTCGCAGAACGCCGTGACCCGGTTGAGCATCGTTCTCTGCCGCTCTTTTTGGTCCTCATTACCATCACCGTCCGCGATCATCTTCCTCAAGGTGACGACATCTTGATATCCGAAATACAGAATGCAATCGGATGGGTTGCCGTCTCTGCCAGCTCGCCCCGTTTCTTGGTAGTAGCCTTCCAAGCTCTTGGGTACCGAATGATGAATAACGAAGCGAACGTCTGGTTTATCAATCCCCATGCCAAAGGCAATTGTTGCCACAACGACATGGATTCTGTCCTTCTGCCATTGCCTTTGAACATCAATCCGATCCTCGGGTGACATCTGTGCGTGGTAGTGATGGGCTAAAATGCCGTACTTGTCTCGTAGCTTCTCAGCCACCTGTTCAGATGTCTTCCTCGATAGCGTATAGATGATACCGCATTGCTGGTCGTACTTTGACTGAATGAGGTCGGCGATTTTGTGCACCAGCTCCCTCTCCTTCCGGCGGACTTCATACGTAAGGTTCGGCCTGTTGAAACTCTGGCAGAATACCTCGCAATTATCCATGCCCAGGTTATGTTTGATGTCAACAATGACGTTCTGGGTTGCCGTTGCTGTGAGCGCAATAATAGGTACGGTGGGAAAGTGATTCCGTAGCTTGCCCAAAGCCTTGTAGTCTGGCCGGAAATCATGGCCCCATTGACTGACACAATGCGCCTCGTCAATGACTATACGAGCAAGTCGTTTGCCTGAGTGGAGCGTTGTCAAGGCCTTCATGAAGGAGGGACTATTGTTCAACATCTCAGGCGTGACGTAGAGTAACTGAACGAATAACTCAGGGCTTCTCTCCTTGAAGGACGAGAAGATTTGGTTTCGCTTCTGAGAAGTTGTTTCTCCGTTGAGAGAGACCGCCTGGATGTTTAGCGCAGACATGTGATCTACCTGATCTTGCATCAGACTGAGCAGAGGTGAAACAACAATCGTGATACCCCGGGTCTTCCCGCTGTTGATGATTGCCGGCAGTTGATAACAGAGTGATTTTCCTCCACCGGTCGGCATTAGCACAAAGGCATCCTTACCGGCTAGAGTGGCATTGATAGCTTCAAGTTGATTAGGTCGGAACCCTCTCATCCTGAATCTGTCCTTCAAAGCCCTTCTGACATCCGGGGACCAGGGATGTTTCATCAACTCGGGTGGTATCGACAATTTTGCTTTAGACACTTCCCTCTTCTTCAAGGGTTCAGTGGATTTGGGAGGCTGAGCGAGATTCCCTGACGTTGCAGTAAGGACGCTTCTCCTCTTGGAAGCCGTTTCCGCAGAAGACGAGTGACGCGATTCAAAGTCTTGCGCGAGCGCAAGCATGTCTGCGTCCGCATCATCGCCGTAATCACTGGACATATCCATGGCGCGAGGGCGCGATGCTTTGACAGGGCTTCTGCGACTTGGCAACGGCCTAGAGATCGGCGGCTCCGGATCAAATGCGCCGAAGTCATCTTCAATATCATCCAGGTAGTTGTCTTCAAAATCATCTCGTCGACTGGCTTTCGCAATCGGAGGGGCTGATTTCTTGGCGCTATTGGGCATGGGGGTTTTGGACCGTGGGAACGGCGGCGGAGACCGATCTCTGGGGTCGGTTATTCTCGACGATCCGGGGAATTGTGTCTGATGAATGACTTGGTTGTCATTCTCATCGACTGCCTGTGCAGATCTCAACGCTCTGGCCGGGGTCTTGTGGCTAGGTTGGGTGCTCATTACAATAGCCTTAGACCTGCGGTAGTCGTCGATGAAAGATTCGCCGTCGATGCCCACACTAGGAAGATGTCGCTCGATGGATTGCTCCAAAGCCTTAACTTTGTCTGACACTTCATCCAAACGAATCTCGTCCTGCTCAGTGTCGCCACCGTCACCGTAGGCCGTGGCGATTTGTTGTACAAGCACCTCTTTCTCGCCTTGAAGTTTCGCGTGGGACTTGAGGAGTTCGTATGCTTTCTTGAGGCAACATTGCTGTGACATCAACAACTCTTTCTCGGCTTTATGTTTATTGCGGTCTTCCCTTGAGCCATCCATCAAGACGTTCCGGAAGGTTTCGGAGTTGTGCACGAGCTTCTCCTGAATCATCGTCTCCTTTGCCTTCATGGCATCT